AGAGGGCTGCATAGAGGTACTGCTCCAGCTGCAGCTGCTCCAGTTATCGCTGTAGGGCTGCATAGAGGTGAAGCTATCGCATGAAGTCGTCCAGCTGCTCCAGTTATCGCTGGAGTCCACCATCATTTCATCATCACCATCATGTCCATCAGTGTAGTCCGCCGGATTCGGCGATTCCTAAGGATGAGGCGACGCCTTCCTTCTTGTTGGGTTGGCCAAGCCAGTGGCGTCAATTTCTGCACTTTTTGAGGGGGGCCTGACCACGGCTGAGTCCTGCGACGCGAGGAAGAATATTCCTCTTTGGCTGGCCAGCGGGTGGATGTGAAGCAGGTGCCGGATAGGGCGCAGCCGCAGCAGATCTGGCTGCTGCCATGGTCGGAGCTGTCCCCAGTTGCGTGACTTCGTCCGAACGTGGATGGAAATTTTGTTGAAACAATTAGATACTTTTAGATACTTAAAATTTGTAAAACGATAGAAATTTTGTTTTACGCTAATACTAAAAATACAAAAATATAAAAACAAGCGTACAGCTCCAAAGTCAGTGCTAGAATGAAATATTGCCCAGCCTCAAATCAAACGATACGAACAGAAAAGTAAATGCTAACTAGATGAAATACTTTTCCAAGCAAGTAAAACACATGCGAACTCTATTGATTTTTGTCGGTTTATGTTTTGGTAGAATTTTTTGTATTTTCTTTCAAATTGAATGCAGCAGAACGCCACACTTCTGACTTCGAAGTCTCAGCAACTTCTAATAGATACGCCTGAAGGTAATCCATTCACTGTATTTCACGCATATGCCTCAGAAAGCAGCACAGAAAAGCTCTAAAACAGCTCATAGAGAGTGTACAATTATCTACCTATAATACCTTTAATACATATATTCAGAACACTCCCCGCTCTGCTCTGCTCTGATCTGATGAGCGGAGGAAAACCTCTGAAAATTAAACTGCTTTTTGCTTGTTCCAGTGGAGGCTTTTATTTTATTTTTTTGGTTTATTGGATTGCATTTCATTTCTTGGCGACTTCTTGGCGGTCTTCTGGTATTTTCTTCTTGTGCTATTTTGCTTTTTTTATACCCGTACTTAAAAAAGAGTTAAGGGGTATATTAGATTCGTGGTAAAAGTGGATGTGTGTAACGCAGAGAAGGAAACGTTTCCGACCCCATAAAGTATATATATTCCTGATCAGCATCAATAGCCGAGTCGATAGAGCCATGTCTGTCTGTCCGTCTGTCTGTCTGTCTGTCCGTCTTGATGAGCGCCTAGATCTCAGAGACTATAAAAGCTAGGGCAACCAAATTTGGTAGTCTGGAAACTCTTGTGATATCACACTGCTACAAGTGTATTTCAAAATTTCGCCCCGCCCCCTTCCGCCCACACAAAGGACGAAAATCTGTGGCAGGCACAGTTTTAAAGATACGATAAAACTAAAAACGCAGTATCGTAGAGAATGCCCATACTCTACTAGATTGCCGAATCTGAATCAGATCGGATCATAATTATAGCCAGAATGAAGAAATTTTCAGTTGCTTCCCCTCCCCCTCCCGATCATGACAACACAACTCATTTTCCTTCTCGCTCGCACACTCTGCCGCGTTCAGTGCGCGAGCAACCCTAACGGAGGAGAATAGAATAGAATATAGAATATGAATGGAACATGTACAATCTACATGTTAGATGTAGAATATACATTGTATATGTAGATGTAGATATCATATGTAGCAAAAAAATGTAAAATGTAAAATTTTTTTTTTTCTAAAATTCTTTAAAATCATAAGCTCAATAATGTATATACTGACTGAGTACGGGTATAAGTAGAGTCGCGTCCCCAGAAGCGACTCACACGTTCCTTCTCGTTTTATTTATATTTATTTGCACTTTTATCTCAATTGTTTTATTTACGTTTATTTATATTTACCTATATTTATATTCTTTTATTTTCAAATATGTAGTTGGGTATTATTAATGTTTTAGTTCGTAAATAAATTTTATAATTTTAATTTTATAATAGTAATTTGTATTTGACATCGGCTAATCCCATGCCCTAGAAGAATTGCCCTAAGAAGGGGCCATTCGGATGTGGGCCAGGGGGCAGAATGGCCAACGGTAGGGTGGGCATGTTACGCCTCATCAACACCTGAGGTCGTAGTAGGGAGAACCAGCAGGTGCAGCGGAATAGTTCCATTCCCTTTAGTATGTTTGTTGGTCGGAAGTAAGTGGGATTCTCTATTCCGGTTTTCGCTTGTTCCTAGCAGGCAACTTATTTAGAATATTATAGTGAAGAAAGGCCAATCATGGGAGTGGAGCAAGACCACCACCCTCCTAGCCGACGAGCCTGAGCCGGAATATACAGCGTTCTCCTCTCTCTCCCATGCCCAACACCGCGCCTGAGAATAATGAGTTGGAATGCATTTGTTACAGTAGGCAGAGGGTGTAGTCCATTTCCGATTCCCTAGCCCACTAATTTGCTTACAATGATGAGGCACGCACCATTGACGGCCTTGTCACCAAGCTGCCCATAAGCAGCCCTTCAAGCGAGCAGCCGCCTCGCGCCGTACAGGTCGAATATACTGATCTTCGCAGCAGCGTCGATGAGCCCCTCATCCCGGGCATGCCACTCCGCTCGGGAAAAAAGCTAGGGACGGGAAAGGTGCGCACTCGTTCAGCCCCACGCACCATTGACGGACCAATTGAAGGAACCAGTAACGGACAAACTGGCGGAACCAGTAACGGACAAACTGAAGGACCCCTAATCGTGTAAGCCTCGCTCCCCGAGGCTGAGCAGGAGAACTGCGATGGTGAAACCCAAACCGACACAGTCACCGGGGCTGACTTATCTCCAAATTAAATTTTGTGTTCATTAGTTATAATTTACAATCAATATAAATAAAATTTACAATGTAATCCATGTAGCACATGGAACACCATTAATTCCGTTAAAAAAACGAATCAACAAGAAGGAAGAGGGCCGTGTGAGAGCGAAACAATATTTTGAATATTTCAAAAATAAATAAAATGAATAATTGTGTAAATAATAAATAATAATAAGATTGTGAGGTCCTATTTCAGGCTGAGGTAAGCATCAGCCTGTCCAGGGTCCTCTACAAGACAATTTGTAGATCGCAGGTGACTTTCAGGTTTGGGAGCGGCCTTGTCTGACCGAAAGAGAGGTAGGACACAGGAGGAGCGTTTTGTTGCTGACAAAAATACTTCAAGAAGATCGTGGTTTTTGGTTTTGCTGGTGTTTATTATTTTTATTACTTAATTCTTTGTGGGTTTGTGTACGATGGATTACTTGCGGATCTTGTTACTTTGCCTTGGAGCCGTTGGACTGGGGGTGCAGTGTCTTGTGTTTTGGCTGAGGGACTGCCTAGGTGCAGTGTCTTGGGTGTGTGACTGAGGGACTGCGTAGTACAGTGTCTTGGGTGTGTGACTGAGGGACTGCCTTGTGCAGTGTCTTGTGTTTGGGCTGATGGACTGCGTAGTACAGTGTCTTGGGTGTGTGACTGAGGGACTGCCTTGTGCAGTGTCTTGGGTGTGTGACTGAGGGACTGTGTAGTACAGTGTCTTGGGTGTGTGACTGAGGGGACTGCGTAGCACAGTGTCTTGTATTTGGGCTGATGGACTGCCTACTCTTTCAGCCGATCTTGGCCCTTTTATGCAGCTGGCGATCGCACCTGAGACCCGGAAATAATTAATTCTTGCTGACTTAAGGTTATTGGATAACAATAATTGTGGAGCGCGGTAAGTGGGTCGAAGCTTTGTGCTTCGTTGACAATTGTTAGTGGGTCAGGGTGGTTTTGCTGAGGCTGCATCCCGGAAGGTGCGGGCTGCAGTTGGGTAAGGTGATATCTGAATTTGGGTCGGTAGGTCGATAATTTTATGCTAGCTTGACCTATTGTGAAATAACGCCAATGATATCTCTCATTGCGAAATTGTGTCGGCTTGGCTTATTGTAGGCTGCTGATTTCACAATTGTCTCAAGAGGTGGGGTGTTGTTGATCGAGAGTTCTTAATTAATTGTGTGCTTAAGACCATTTTATTTCCGAGGTGCTGACACACCGCTATTTGTGGAGAACCGTGGCTAGAGCCATGGTTCGCTAGCTCGGTGTATATCAGTTTGGTTATTGTCTCCCGCCAGCGTGGATGCGCTGACCCTTCGCCGTTTGTGACGAGCCATGGCTAGAACCATGGTTCGTTACACCCCCCTTCTGCGGGTGGGTGATGGAGAGATTAGTGGCGTCGCTTGGCGGGTGCTGAGGATCGCCTTTTTACCGGGTTATCCTGTCCTTGGGCTTTTGCCGAGTCTTTGGATTCGTCGGTGTTAATCTCGTCACTTTAGCGTGGCGTCGGTAACGTTATATTTTCTACTGCTGCTGTGATCATGGCCTTTCTGCTGTTCTGGGTGCTTTGTAGTTGGTGTCTGCTTGGTGGGTCGATTATCCCATATGACGATGGTTTTCTCGGCGGTTTTCTTCGGTAGTTCCTTGTCCAGGAACGTGAAATTATGTAATAAGGTCACTTTTTCATTTTCTTTGCGTACCTTATCCAGGGTTTGGTTTGTAGTTTTTGTTCTTTGCAGCCACAACACTTTTCAAATGGTTTTTATTGGGTTTATGTTCCCTTTTATGGTTTTGCAGAATTTTCACCACGTTTTTCTTTTTATATGTTCTGTACGCACATTAATTAAGTCTTCCAACTTTGAATGCACTTTTGTTCTGTGCAGCATGCACTTAGCCTAACTATTTTACCCCTCCAAAAGCTGGGTATGAGAGAGCTAAGAAGGTTCTCGAAGGGCTAGCCGTAAGCTATGCTTGCGGAGAGAAAAGCTCACATGTGAACGGCGCTCGCACGTGCAATTTCGAAGAGAGAGCTTTTCAAGATAAAAGCTTCTGATCTTGCATTTGGGCTCTCTATGGAATGCATGTACAGTGGGGAAGGTTCAATATTTTTGCGATAAAATAAGAAGACTGTTCCCAAAAAAAATTCTTAATACAATTTTTGTCCAGACATTCTAAATTTTGTATTTTTGGTCTGCAACCTTCACAACACATAAAATTTATAGATCTTGGCCACGTAACGAGGGGCAATCCGCATCCGGAATGCACAGGGCAATGCTCATCCCGACGAACAGGAATACCTGCACTGTTGCCACCAGGATTTTCTTGAGCATGCCCCACTCTGATTCGTCCACTCGCGGTGCCGCTCTGACCTTCGGTGGCGGTTCCTCTTCCTGGGTGCCGCATGGCACCTGTGGGGGAATGGGCAGCGAGGATATGGCTGTCAACAGAAGCTTTTCCACCATCGGCGTCCATTCATTCAGTGCCGCTCTGACCTTTCTGGAAGACTTTGCCCGTCCCCCGGCCAAACGTGTCGTCCACTTCTTGGCCTTGAACCGAGGCCCTCGGGCACTTGTCGATGGCGGTTCCTCTGTCTGCGTGCCGCATGACACCTGTGGGGGAATGGGCAGCGAGGATATGGCTGTCACCACCATCGGCGAAGTCCATCCATTGTCGGGAATTCCGTTTTCGGGCATTTTCGTTTCTGTTGGGTGGCCATCGGAGGTCAGGCATGTCACCATCGAGTGCGTCGACTGGGCCGAGAGGCTAGGGGGACTCAGGCAGGACTTCATCGACGGCGTTGCGGTGCGATTGAGGCTCAAGCAGGACCCCATCGACGGCGTTGCGCTAGCATCGGAGCTCAAGCTGGACAACATCGTTGGCAGCCCGTTGGCGTTCGAGAAGCGGCCGATAGAGGGCTGCATAGAGGTACTGCTCCAGCTGCAGCTGCTCCAGTTATCGCTGTAGGGCTGCATAGAGGTGAAGCTATCGCATGAAGTCGTCCAGCTGCTCCAGTTAACGCTGGAGTCCACCATCATTTCATCATCACCATCATGTCCATCAGTGTAGTCCGCCGGATTCGGCGATTCCTAGGATGAGGCGACGCCTCTTCTGCTTCTTCTGCTCCAGTTATCGCTGGAGTCCACCATCATTTCATCATCACCATCATGGCCATCAGTGTAGTCCGCCGGATTCGGCGATTCCTGAGGATGAGGCGACGCCTTCTTGTTGGGTACTGGCCAAGCCAGTGGCGTCAATTTCTGCACTTTTTGAGGGGGGCCTGACCACGGCTGAGTCCTGCGACGCGAGGAAGAATATTCCTCTTTGGCTGGCCAGCGGGTGGATGTGAAGCAGGTGCCGGATAGGGCGCAGCCGCAGCAGATCTGGCTGCTGCCATGGTCGGAGCTGTCCCCAGTTGCGTGACTTCGTCCGAACGTGGATGGAAATTTTGTTGAAACAATTAGATACTTTTAGATACTTAAAATTTGTAAAACGATAGAAATTTTGTTTTACGCTAATACTAAAAATACAAAAATATAAAAACAAGCGTACAGCTCCAAAGTCAGTGCTAGAATGAAATATTGCCCAGCCTCAAATCAAACGATACGAACAGAAAAGTAAATGCTAACTAGATGAAATACTTTTCCAAGCAAGTAAAACACATGCGAACTCTATTGATTTTTGTCGGTTTATGTTTTGGTAGAATTTTTTGTATTTTCTTTCAAATTGAATGCAGCAGAACGCCACACTTCTGACTTCGAAGTCTCAGCAACTTCTAATAGATACGCCTGAAGGTAATCCATTCACTGTATTTCACGCATATGCCTCAGAAAGCAGCACAGAAAAGCTCTAAAACAGCTCATAGAGAGTGTACAATTATCTACCTATAATACCTTTAATACATATATTCAGAACACTCCCCGCTCTGCTCTGCTCTGATCTGATGAGCGGAGGAAAACCTCTGAAAATTAAACTGCTTTTTGCTTGTTCCAGTGGAGGCTTTTATTTTATTTTTTTGGTTTATTGGATTGCATTTCATTTCTTGGCGACTTCTTGGCGGTCTTCTGGTATTTTCTTCTTGTGCTATTTTGCTTTTTTTATACCCGTACTTAAAAAAGAGTTAAGGGGTATATTAGATTCGTGGTAAAAGTGGATGTGTGTAACGCAGAGAAGGAAACGTTTCCGACCCCATAAAGTATATATATTCCTGATCAGCATCAATAGCCGAGTCGATAGAGCCATGTCTGTCTGTCCGTCTGTCTGTCTGTCTGTCCGTCTTGATGAGCGCCTAGATCTCAGAGACTATAAAAGCTAGGGCAACCAAATTTGGTAGTCTGGAAACTCTTGTGATATCACACTGCTACAAGTGTATTTCAAAATTTCGCCCCGCCCCCTTCCGCCCACACAAAGGACGAAAATCTGTGGCAGGCACAGTTTTAAAGATACGATAAAACTAAAAACGCAGTATCGTAGAGAATGCCCATATCTACTAGATTGCCGAATCTGAATCAGGATCGGATCATAATTATAGCCAGAATGAAGAAATTTTCAGTTGCTTCCCCTCCCCCTCCCGATCATGACAACACAACTCATTTTCCTTCTCGCTCGCACACTCTGCCGCGTTCAGTGCGCGAGCAACCCCTAACGGAGGAGAATAGAATAGAATGTTAGATGTAGAATATACATTGTATATGTAGATGTAGATATCATATGTAGCAAAAAAATGTAAAATGTAAAATTTTTTTTTTCTAAAATTCTTTAAAATCATAAGCTCAATAATGTATATACTGACTGAGTACGGGTATAAGTAGAGTCGCGTCCCCAGAAGCGACTCACACGTTCCTTCTCGTTTTATTTATATTTATTTGCACTTTTATCTCAATTGTTTTATTTACGTTTATTTATATTTACCTATATTTATATTCTTTTATTTTCAAATATGTAGTTGGGTATTATTAATGTTTTAGTTCGTAAATAAATTTTATAATTTTAATTTTATAATAGTAATTTGTATTTGACATCGGCTAATCCCATGCCCTAGAAGAATTGCCCTAAGAAGGGGCCATTCGGATGTGGGCCAGGGGGCAGAATGGCCAACGGTAGGGTGGGCATGTTACGCCTCATCAACACCTGAGGTCGTAGTAGGAGAACCAGCAGGTGCAGCGGAATAGTTCCATTCCCTTTAGTATGTTTGTTGGTCGGAAGTAAGTGGGATTCTCTATTCCGGTTTTCGCTTGTTCCTAGCAGGCAACTTATTTAGAATATTATAGTGAAGAAAGGCCAATCATGGGAGTGGAGCAAGACCACCACCCTCCTAGCCGACGAGCCTGAGCCGGAATATACAGCGTTCTCCTCTCTCTCCCATGCCCAACACCGCGCCTGAGAATAATGAGTTGGAATGCATTTGTTACAGTAGGCAGAGGGTGTAGTCCATTTCCGATTCCCTAGCCCACTAATTTGCTTACAATGATGAGGCACGCACCATTGACGGCCTTGTCACCAAGCTGCCCATAAGCAGCCCTTCAAGCGAGCAGCCGCCTCGCGCCGTACAGGTCGAATATACTGATCTTCGCAGCAGCGTCAATGAGCCCCTCATCCCGGGCATGCCACTCCGCTCGGGAAAAAAGCTAGGGACGGGAAAGGTGCGCATTCGTTCAGCCCCACGCACCATTGACGGACCAATTGAAGGAACCAGTAACGGACAAACTGGCGGAACCAGTAACGGACAAACTGAAGGACCCCTAATCGTGTAAGCCTCGCTCCCCGAGGCTGAGCAGGAGAACTGCGATGGTGAAACCCAAACCGACACAGTCACCGGGGCTGACTTATCTCCAAATTAAATTTTGTGTTCATTAGTAATAATTTACAATCAATATAAATAAAATTTACAATGTAATCCATGTAGCACATGGAACACCATTAATTCCGTTAAAAAAACGAATCAACAAGAAGGAAGAGGGCCGTGTGAGAGCGAAACAATATTTTGAATATTTCAAAAATAAATAAAATGAATAATTGTGTAAATAATAAATAATAATAAGATTGTGAGGTCCTATTTCAGGCTGAGGTAAGCATCAGCCTGTCCAGGGTCCTCTACAAGACAATTTGTAGATCGCAGGTGACTTTCAGGTTCGGAGCGGCCTTGTCTGACCGAAAGAGAGGTAGGACACAGGAGGAGCGTTTTGTTGCTGACAAAAATACTTCAAGAAGATCGTGGTTTTTGGTTTTGCTGGTGTTTATTATTTTTATTACTTAATTCTTTGTGGGTTTGTGTACGATGGATTACTTGCGGATCTTGTTACTTTGCCTTGGAGCCGTTGGACTGGGGGTGGCGAGGGACTGTAGTGTGTTTTGGCTGAGGGACTGCCTAGTACAGTGTCTTGGGTGTGTGACTGAGGGACTGCGTTGTACAGTGTCTTGGGTGTGTGACTGAGGGACTGCGTAGCACAGTGTCTTGTATTCGGGCTGATGGACTGCCTACTCTTTCAGCCGATCTTGGCCCTTTTATGCAGCTGGCGATAGCACCTGAGACCTGGAAATAATTAATTCTTGCTGACTTAAGGTTATTGGATAACAATAATTGTGGAGCGCGGTAAGTGGGTCGAAGCTTTGTGCTTCGTTGACAATTGTTAGTGGGTCAGGGTGGTTTTGCTGAGGCTGCATCCCGGAAGGTGCGGGCTGCAGTTGGGAAAGGTGATATCTGAATTTGGGTCGGTAGGTCGATAATTTTATGCTAGCTTGACCTATTGTGAAATAACGCCAATGATATCTCTCATTGCGAAATTGTGTCGGCTTGGCTTATTGTAGGCTGCTGATTTCAAAATTGTCTCAAGAGGTGGGGTGTTGTTGATCGAGAGTTCTTAATTAATTGTGTGCTTAAGACCATTTTATTTCCGGGTGCTGACACACCGCTATTGTGGAGAACCGTGGCTAGAGCCATGGTTCGCTAGCTCGGTGTATATCAGTTTGGTTATTGTCTCCCGCCAGCGTGGATGCGCTGACCCTTCGCCGTTTGTGACGAGCCATGGCTAGAACCATGGTTCGTTACACCCCCCCCCCTTTCTGCCGGGTGGGTGATGGAGAGATTAGTGGCGTCGCTTGGCGGGTGCTGAGGATCGCCTTTTTACCGGGTTATCCTGTCCTTGGGCTTTTGCCGAGTCTTTGGATTCGTCGGTGTTAATCTCGTCATTTTAGCGTGGCGTCGGTAACGTTATATTTTCTACTGCTTCTGTGATCATGGCCTTTCTGCTGTTCTGGGTGCTTTGTAGTTGGTGTCTGCTTGGTGGGTCGATTATCCCATATGACGATGGTTTTCTCGGCGGTTTTCTTCGGTAGTTCCTTGTCCAGGCATTCTTGAATCGGCGGTGCTATGTCGGGTGGCCAAGGATCCGTCGGTAGTTCTGGGTCGTCTTCGGTGGCTCCGGGGTCAAAGGTTTGATTCGGGTCTTTCTGTAGGATGGGTCTGTCGAATGTAAATGCTTGGATCTGCGGGGCCAAGTCCGGCGGCCACGGCTCCGGGACTGGTTCGGGCTCATGTTCGGTTGGATCGGCGGCTTCGGAGTCAAATGGCTGGCTGGGGTCTTCGGGTGAGAGGGTTGTGTCGAAGGCGCTGGGCGTTTCGATCCTCCGTTGGTAGTCGCTTATGTGGGCGACGATGGGTGTGGTGTCGACCATGGGTAGATATGTTTCATATCTCTGATGCAATACTTGGGTGGTATTGGCTTGGGTTTGGCTCATGAACAGGTGAGTCTCGGCGATTCCTCTTGTTTTGGACCAACAGCTGGTACGGGCGACAAAGATCTCGGACCTGGCTCTAGGCATGGCTCGGTGCATGGCGCTAGCAGTCAAGTCGTGTGCCGTGTGCGTTGTGGTAGGTCGTGGACGTAGGTTCGTTGCGATTTGTTGTGGTTTCTGGTATCGGGGTTCGGCGTCTTGTACGTGGATGGTAGTAAGCACGGGTTCAGTGGGCATGGGGTGACGGTCTCGTAGCCGTAGCAGCGTGGATCCGCATTGGATCGTCGTTTCGGTGGCACCTAGGAAGTCCATGCCGACAATGACTTGTCCAAACATGTTTGGCAGGACCAGGAGCGGGATTTGAACCTCTCGTTGATCCAGCTTGATGTGCGCCAGTAGAACTTGTGAGATCTTCTGACCGAGCCATCGGCCAGGCGTATGCGGACGCATGCATCTTGCAGGTTGGTGTTGTTGTCTAGTTGTCGGGCGAGGTTTGCGCTGATGAAGCTTCTGGATGCCCCGGTGTCGATTGTGGCTTCCGTTGTGTGTCCTCCTATGGTCACCATCGCCACTATCCGGCCGTTGCTTACGTGTAGAGAGTTATTTAGTCGCGGTTTGAAGGAGGCGTCGTTCCCCGCTGATCGCGTGTCAGTTGGGGACGCATGTCGTTTCCCGACGTGTTTTGGCGGCAGCAATTTACGGTCCGTGTGCCGCGTTTGCCACATTCCCAGCAGAATAGGATGGGGGGATTATGGCAGTCGTATGCCGCATGCCCCGCTTCACCACACCGGCGACAGGCTGCGCGTGGGTTGATGATGGGGGTCGTGATCATGTGATGGGCTGCTTCGGGATTC